AGATTCGAAATGTCAATTACAACAGAATTGTAACAGAAGCTCAGAAGTTTTCTCCACTACATGTCATTTCTCGTTCGCATAATAGTAACTCAAATTTCTTAATATGATACTCTCCAAAGTATGCAGATAAAATGAAAAAAGATATGACTAATTAGGAAATGTTGTATAAACATCTAATTTAACTATTCTATTCGCAAAAATATTGCGTAATTGTTAAATTCTATCAAATAAATCGATTCTTAGTTAAATTAAATACTCACAAACTCGTGACAAGAGGTCAGGTCTCCTTCCCATCCCTGTCTCCTCAGGCGAACCATTGCTCTGTTCCACAGGCTTCACCTCCTGAACAGGCTTGAAGCTGCTGAACTCAGGACTGGTCATCTCCTTGTAACTCAACTTCTCGTTTCCAATTGACTTGTCGTTCCTCACGATCATTCTGTCGTTCCTCACTATCAGCTGCTCGTTCGCTGGCAGTCGTTCGTTGAAATTCCTCTCTGAACATGGATTTATAACTCTATCTGGCACCATCAGTCGATCGTTCGAATTCCTCAATCGATCTTGATGGTTCGTTGGTCCGTCGTTCCTCGCTAGTTTATCATTCGGTGACCAGGTGGAATGGTTCGATTGATCAGTAGTGTTCCAAATGTCCTCGTAGTCCGAAATCTTGTCCCCAGGCGAGCTTCGATAGTACGATTCCAAAATGTCGGATTCTTGATAGTGTTGCGAGTTCTTTCGCGCTTCTCGGTCTCGTCTTCGTTTCGATTTGCTGGTACTCGATGGTGTAGTCGGCGAGAGAACGTTGGGCATCTTCGAGCCTATGTTTGGGACTAGTTTCGACATCGGGGAGAGTACTGGCGTTGTTGGTGATAAGGGAGACTTGACGGAGAAGTTTGATATCAGAGATTTGTTCGATGTGGCGCTCTGTGGACTTAGCAGAGAGGTATTCGGATCCGATGGAGTGTTCTGAAATGGAAAAAAAAATAAAGACTCAGTGGTGACATGGAAGAAAGAACCTGACTCTGATTGACCCTGTTATCCACGATCATGTAATTTACAGAATTAACAACTGATGTTATTTAATTATAATACATATTTAATAAATAGATAATTAAATGGAATAGTAAAATGGATAGATAATTTTAAAGTGCAATTGGTTGATAATGAATTGAATTTTAAGATTACTCTATAGAATAAGGAAAGTATTATTCATTCTTAATACAAAGGTAATTGTATTATACTGTAAATCTATAATATACGAAAGATAAATAATATTTTTTTGAATTAACTGTAACATAATTGATTGATATAATACAATACATAATACTATTAGAAATATGATATAATTATAAATATTAGAGATACTTCTATGTTGAATATTTCCCAACATCTCTCTATTTTCATCTCATAAGCTCCAATTCTAAATTTTTCCAATTTGTTTCTAAATAATCACCTGCGAACTCCCAACATCACTGATGTGATTTACACTGAATGTGACAGTGGTAGTGACGTTGAAATTACTCTGATTCTGTCCAATTCCAATCCCAGGTTTCGCCCATCTCGGAGGTGGCGGAGGCGGTGTCTTTACGTTCTGCCCGGCAGTATGATTCTCTGTTATGATATTCCTGATCTCAGGTAGCACAGGTGACGTTGTACAAGAGAGATTATTAAACGTCGACACGTTCTGATGGAAATTCGTCATGGAAGTGCTGACAGAGGAGAATCTAGTCCTGGATAATTCGACCACCGTTGATTTCGACGTTTCTGCCGTGGTTTTCGACTCGAAGCTGACTTTCGTATCTTGAACGGGACTCAGAACGTTACTCTCCACGTTGTGCACCACGGGCGAAGGACAACGAACGCTTTGGACCAAGTTTGGGGAAATCAGCTTTTGAGATAGCTTGTCGCTTGGCGAGATTTTCTCTTTCTTCAGATCCAGAGGCTCGTTGAAGGTTGTCAGATTCAAGGTGTTCGGTGGCGTTGGCCGAGGTTGTCGAGGCAGCGACGACGCAAACGTTGTCGTCGTCAAGGCGCCTATAGGCGATGAGCTTCCTGCACACGAAAATAAAACGATGAAGAATTATTTTTGGACGCGTGGACAGTTTTTATTTTCAGGGGATTCTGGTCGTTGGAGATTCATTGGGCACAAGGTGGAAGGAAAATTATGGCTACTGGAGAATTACACGTGATTGAAATTGCGATATATCTTGGTTTCGGTATTTAATTGCTATGTACCCGACAAGGGGGAAGGAAAATTATAGCTGCTAGAGGATCATACGTGATTAAGATTGTGATATATCTTGGTTTTGGTGTTTAGTTGCTATGTGTCCGACACAGTATTGTGGAATAATTTTTTTACTATTTTGTATTAATATTGTGCTTGTTTTTGCATATTACCATGCTGATAAAAATGAGAGATTACTATTGAAAGAATTATAGGCAGCAACTGAGATTGTTATATTTCTTGGTTTTGGTATTTAATTTTTCTTCAAACTGTGAAATTTTTTTCATTGTCGTTCTGTTTTTATTATTTCAGTTTCTTTTAATATGATGATCAAAATGAAAGGTTATTATCAGATTGCGAATGTTTAAGGTACCAATGAATCTAACATGTAAAAATATATGAAATATTCAAAGTCAAACTATTGATAGATAACGTGAATTTTTATTCAGATTTTATTCCTTTAATTATATTTATAGAAATATAAAATTGCACGAACATCCACAGTCTGGTTATTAGAAGAAGCTTTCATTCAATTTGATAATTAATTTGTCACTCACGAGTATCGTGCGACGAGATGGGCGCCAGATTTAATACGATACTCTCTGTCGTCGGTGTATGAATATTATTATTGTTGTTATTCAAGTTATTGTTACCTGAAACAAGCAATATCAATATGATGAGAACGAACAGACTAGAATTTCATTTATATAAGCTCATTGGGAAATAATTAGTTATAATAATAATAGGAGGCCACTCTTTCTGACACGCTGTCTGACTATAATTTTTTCTTCGTATAATAGAAGGTCATGGTTAAAACACGTCAGGTGGATTCAACTAAAATTTCAATCAATATAAATTGAGGTTTTACTGTATCTAAAACGAAATATTTTTGCGAATTGTTAATACATCCACAATTTGATTAACCACCTGGCTTACAATTATTTTATTTGTTTGCTTCTAATTAATTCACTTCATTTACTTATCATTCTATTTACAAAAAATAAATTTACATGTTATTCATATCCTTTGCATATTAGCCACAAAAGTCTACATGCATCTGCCAAAGAAAGAATTCGAAACATTTATTTATTTATTTATTTACATTGACATAGTTGAAACTCGACTTCAATTCAAAAATGGAATCTATGAAAATTGTTTTTTTTGAAAACTTACCACCCCGGAAACTGCTCAAGCTAGACGTGTTGCTGCTGCTGCTCTCCGGTGGTTTAGGATTCGCCATCGGGTATCTCCAGAATTCCTGACCCAGAAGAGCCAAAGAGGAGAGCTGTTGCCTATTCTTGGCCTCGCGCATCGCCCTTGGCAGTGTCAATTGGACTGGCAATTCATCACTGTTCCAAACCAAGAGAAACAGATAAATCAAAGGGAATTAGCGGTCGAGAGATTCGTTCAAAGCTAATCGAGACGGTAGTATAACCAATTCGTTAACCGCACAATGGAGCCAAGGAGAACTCTTTCATATAATTGAGATACTTGAGAATACGTTCTAGTTGACCCATTAATTGACAATCTTTTTTTCTTTTTTTCTTTTACTTCAATTCCTCCTTAATTTCAATTCTTTCAATTTTAATAGAGTTATACAGTGAGGGACATGACTGAAACAATAACGATGAAAAATTGTCGATAATTGAAACTGTTACAACTTCATAAAAGGAAATCGTACAACAATCCAATCGATCTCGTTTTAAAGCTTCTCTCGAAAATTGTAAGTTGTTCAAACATTTCTAAAAGCATTGCAAATTTTCTTTTCGAGATTTATTACTTTATTTGAACATTAAAGTCTACTGTAAATGCTAACTGCTCTGCTCTGTAATTAATTAATTTTACATTTTTGGGATACCCAAGTTCTAACAATCATGAACGAAAATCGTCATAGCGAATATATTTTATAATTTATCAATATCCTTCTGTCGTAACAATTAATTTTCATTCCTAGATTTCTATCAGTAGGTTTCTATAATATGATATAAAATTTCTTAAGCGTACCAACGTAGAATCACAAGCTCAAACGTTTATTAAATAGAATCGAAAATAGGGATTATATCGATGATTAGCCATCGTAGAGTATACGTAGTTGGTGGCGATCGGTTGGATAATTTATCGAATTCCTCGTGTATGCGAGTCCAGGCGAGACCTGATCCAGCGAGGTGAAAGTCGCAGTCGGATCGTGTTCAGAGATAATTTAGGAGGCTAATGGCCAGCTCTGGAAAGCCAGCTACTAGCTCGACGTGAAGTCCGATTTTCATGATAATCGGCGCGACGCGACGATTTTTTCTTTTTTAATGATCTCGATTAATGATTCATTGGCCTTTCAGTCGTTTACCTCCTACCGTTTCTCCGATACGATTCGATAACGCGGTAATAATATTGTCTTGCTTATTTTTTTTTTTTTTTTTTTTTTTTTTTTTGTTTTTTTTTTTTTTTTTTTTTT